TGATTTATGAACGCAACGATGGAGTGGATCGAAAACAAAATACAGTTTTTTCTGTATTTTCGAAAGGAATTTGCGAGTTCAAAATTGTTGATATTTAAAACTTTGATTCATTTGTGTCCGGGGTTTTGGGTCGAAGGGCCTGTCGGGACCGATCTTTCCGCCCCCCCCTCCCTCCACAGTCTTGTACGGATACTCATAAGAGCTCAACATTTTTTACCGTAAGTGAAGCATTTGACCCTGTTTACCATGTTTCCCTGCAAAATAGGGTGGATCCAGCACTTCTTTACCACCTTCCTATCAACTTTAGAGAGTGTAACGAAAATGAAGTGCAGCTATACAATAAAATATTAGAACGTCACGCGTGTGATTATGTAAACTGAGTAAAATATAAGAGCAGGTAATCGAAGATTGAACTTTTTTTATGAATAAATTGTGACTGTCCACGGAAAAAGATGCCTTAATCCAGAAAATCTCAAAGCTTATTTTTCAAATCTTATTTTTTAAAGTAAGGAATTAGAACTATTAATGTTTCTTTTATAGTGCACACATTCTTCCTTTTCCGCCCGATGTGAATTAATTAGAACTATTGAATAGAACTATTAATATTCTAATTGAAATAGAAAAGTCTAATAAATGGTCCAGAATAGTCTTGAATATTATAATCGAATTGAATAGAACTAGTAATATTTAAAAAATGTAACAACCTCAGTCATCAAAAACAAAAAGTTATTGTGTTACAAACATTTTCGAAGAGTTTCATTCTTTATTCTCATTTTTTTAAAGTCAGCGATTCCTTAAGAAAAAATGAAGAGAGAAAATTTTAAAAAAGGCGCATTGCTTTAAATTCTTTTTAAAGAGATTAAAAATTAATATAAGATGGGAAAGAAACAAAAATAAACGTAAAAAAAGTGACAACAGTAACACGCGTATTTCTTTTTTGCTCCAAATTCATCTTTTCGGGTTCAAAAAATCTTAACCCATCAGGTCTCACGCATATTCACTATCACAATAATGGTGAGAACCTAAGTCAATGACTTATATAGTGTAAATTCGGCCGGCGTAGACATAAGCCCCGATGGCTTAGTAGGTATAGGGTGTTAGGTTCGTAAACTGTAGGTCCCAGGTTCAAATCCCGATAGGTAGGCCAAAATTTGCAAGTCGATACTTGCCATGTCGAGTCTTCGATACTTGCAGATATACAATTGAAATTTTTTTCATAAAAAATTCGATAAATTAAACCATTTTTTGCTATTATTGATCAATAATAATACATATGATATGGGTGGAGTGTGCATACCTGCAGTGACTATTTACTAAATTTAAAACAACAATTGGCTAGAAATAAGTAAACACGCCTGAGAGTTAGGCAACATCTATTCATGCCGGGCGTCCCCGTTTACTAATTCTAAGACAACAGTTGGTTTCAATACAATAAACGCGCATTCCCGTCCAACACGCCGTTTACTAATTTTAAACAAACCATTAACTTGAAGCCAGTAAATGCACGTGGGAGTTACGCAACTGTTTCCTATTTCTAAGTAAACAGTTTACCTAGATCAATACGACGGATACTCACTTCAAACCAACGATAATTTCTTAAATTTAGGAAATATTTTCACGGCATGGAATGTTTCCTTTTTTTAAGTAAACGCTTTCTTCTTTTAAGGGGACGTGGAGCGTTGGATTGAGAAACCGCTATTTCTTGATCCAAGGTAACTCCGTTGTCTTAGTTCAAACCTCCGTTTCTTGTCGATACTTTTTAAGTATCCAGTTTACTTGGTCTAAGACGGCTCCGCCTTGTATTTAGGAAACATTTTTTTCAGTGTAATTGACGGTAAGGTATGTGGTTCCGACGATTAGTTCAAGAAAAGGGAGGATTTTCGGATTTTTCGGATTTTCGAATTTTGAGGTGGATTTCGGGACACTTGTTTTTTTTCTCTTTTTTTTTCGCTCATTTTATTTTTTACCCTCCGTACCGCGTAGCTCTCGTCAAGAGGAGCAGAAAAGGTGGTATAGAGTTTTCCCGTCCGACGCGTTTTTCGGGGGCTACGAAGATTTCGATTTGGGCCGTAATCGGGGATTCTTTTTCGAAGAATGGCCGATTTGACGTCTATGGAGTGGCCGGACGGGGAAATCGATAGGGACCAAAAATTTAGGGCTGGAAAAGACGCATAGGATGGTGGAGGTCCGGTGGCGACCAGAGCGGTCGGTTGGCCGGCAGAGTCAAAAAACGGAGCCGGAAAGGGGAAATTCGATTTTTTCCCCTCCGTTTTGACGGGGTTGCAGTGGGGGCCACTGATGGTCCAGGAAGGAGAAGCGGACGATTTCCTTTGTAAAAAGATGCGTACTTTCGATTCCGATAGGTGGCGAGGCGCGGAAAGGGGTTTTTAGGGCGGTTTCGGCGGTGGGAAGTGGGTGACTTATCATTCGGAGGACTTTCGGAGTTGTCAACTTGGACGAGGCCGTAGGGGCTTTTGCGGTGGTCTGCGGAGGGCGGTCCCATTTGAGTTTTTTTAGGGGACTGGTAGGGGTATCCAACGGGCCAGGAGCCGAAGTGCTGGGAGGCGTTTCTTTTTTGGTAAAAACTTCGGGCGCGATTTTACGGCGCCGTAATTGCTCTATAGGGCACTTTGCGAGGTAGTCGACTTCGGGAGTGGTTTGCGACGGGAGTAGGGGTCGGAAGGCGGAAGATTTGGCCCTGGGAGGGTAGAGGGGACCCTTGGGAAGGTATCTAGAGGTCGCGGAAGGATTTCGAAAAGCTGGCGTGGTGTAGCGGTGAGTTTGGAAAAAAAGTGGAACTTTCGATAGAGTGGTCGGAGGGAGCCGAAACTGTGCCAGGTTGTAGGGGAGGTCAAACTATTGAAAAATTTTGTGGACTTTTTTTTTTTAAGATAGTCGTTATTATATGTCTGTGGGGTCATCACTCGAGTTGGATGTGGCCTTAGAGTGGTCGAGAGTGACGTGGCGGGTGCGAGGTGGACGCCAGAGTAGCGCGCGGGTGGCGGGAGAGGTGTAAGTAGGTTTTCGGGGGGGTTGGAAAAGTGAATTTTTCATTTTCTTTCAGTTTGCGAAGGGCTAAGTATGAGGTAGTAAAAGGTTTTCGGGGAAGGCTTGCCGCGGCATTCGCGATACACGGGCGCTAAGTGGGCGCGGGTGCAAGGTGGGGAAGGTAAAATGGAGGGCGAGGGCGGAGGAGACGGCCCCCGGACGGGGGAGTCTGCGGGAGGATCCTCCCGTCAGGACTCGTGCGCAAAATTCGGTGATCAGACGTTTTTTGTCAGTTTTTAAGCGTAGATTATGCAACGCAGCGTTTAATTACGCATTTTCCCGAAAATTTGGCAACGCCGCGCTTAGTTAGCGATTTTTCCGGAAATTCGGTAGCGCCGTATTTAATCGCCGATTTTCCCGGAGTCCCGTCCAGGATCCTCTCGGTAGGACTTGTGCGCGAAATTCGGCAATCGGGGGTTAATTCCAGTCTTTCAGCGTAGATTTTGCAACGCAGCGTTTAATTCCGCATTTTCCAGGAAAATTGGCAACGCCGCAACCGATCGCCGATATCCCCGGAGTCCCTTCGAGGATTCTCTCGGTAGGACTTGTGCGCGAAATTCGCTAATCGGACGTTTTTTGTCACTTTTTCAGCGTAGATTATGCTACGCAGCGTTTAATTACGCATTTCCAAGGAAATTTGGCAACGCAGCGTTTAATTTCTGATTTTCCAGGAAATTTTGCAACGCCGCACCCGATCGCCGATATCCCCGGAGTCCCTTCGAGGATCCTCTTGGTAGGACTTGTGCGCGAAATTCGGTAATCGGACGTTTTTTGTCAGGTTTTAAGCTTAGATGATGGAAAGCAGCGTTTAATTACGCATTTTCCAGGAAATTTGGCAACGCCGCATCCAATCGGCGAATTCCCGGAGTCCCGTCGAAGATCCTCCCGTTCGGACTTGTGCGCGAAACTCGATAATCGGGGATTTATTTTGGGATTCCAAACAATATTCTGCAACAACGCAGCGTTTAATTGGTTATTTTCCCGGAAATTTGGCAACGCCGCGCTTATTTAGCGATTTTTCTGGAAATTTGGCAACGTCACGGACTGTTCGCGGAGCCCCGTCGAGGCTCCACTCGTTAGGACGTGTGCGCGAAATTCGGTACTCGGGAGTTTAATTCAGTATATTAGCGTAGATAATGCAACGAGGCGTTCTATCAGCGATTTCTGAAGAAATTTGGCAACGCCGCATACAATCCGCGATCTCCCCGGGCTCCCGTCGAGGATCCTCTCGTTAGGACTTGTGCGCGAAATTCGGTAATCGGGGGCTTATTTCCAGTTTTTAAGCGTAGATTATGCAACGCAGCGTTTGATTACGCATTGTCCAGTAAATTTGGCAACGTTGCGTCTGAAAAATGGATTTTGCAGGAAATTTGGCAACGCCGCATTTAATCTCTGATTTCCCTGGAGTCCCTTCGAGGATCACCTCGTTAGGACGGGTGCGCGAATTTCGGTATTTGGGCGTTTATTTTAGTATTTCAGCGTATAATGTGTAACGCAGCGTTTAATTACGCATTTTCCAGGAGATTGGGCCACGCCGCGTTTAATTAGGAATATTCGAGGAAATTTGACAACGCCACGCGTAAATAAGGGGTTTTCCCCGAATTTTGGCGACGTCTTCAAAGACAAACCGGGGTAGATACGCTATTTAATAATGTATATATATAAGCTAGCATCAAAGATGTTGCCTATATTCAAGGGGCATTCTACAAAGCCTCAGTGCAGCCTCAGTTTGTCAAACCGAGGTAGATAGGCTATATATATATATATATATATATATATATATATATATATATATATATATATATATATATATAGGTTTGTCCATTGCCACAAACCTACCTGTTTCCTATGTCCTATGGCATTAAGCTACTCTTCAGGAAAAACCTACTCGGGTAGGTTTTTTACGAGTAGGTTTGTGCCATTAGAAATTAAGCACTAGTCACTGCTAGCGCTGCCGCCGTCGCACGGCCACACCGCGCAACGAATTCGCCGCGCCACCGCACCGCTCTCGAGTTTGAAGTTCGCCGCGGATCTCTCCATCCCGTACTAAGTTAACCTCAAAGTGAAATTGTGATGCAATTGATGCAATGTGAATTGTTTGGAGTGCTGTGATAAAGAAAATGAGTGGCGTATCATCAAGGACCAAAAATATTTTGGCGCTGGCGAAAGCTGCGTTTTTTGCTGAAGCTAATGGTATGTTGATAAATTTACGTTACTCCAATTCTATCTTCTTTGAAACAAATTTGGAGCAACAAGTTTAGGCACCTACCTCCCCTCTTCATGCTTTAATCGTTATCTCTCAATGGCATGACATTTGGGGAATTCGATTGAGTATCTGAAAGCCTTGTTTAGGACTGATAAACAATTAAGGAATATCCTCAGATAGTATTTTTTTGAGCAGAAGCTGGTCAGTGATTTGTCAAAACTGTTGAACAGACACAAGTGTACACTAAGAATACTTATATTGAGTTTATCCATACAGTGAACCATTACAGTCATAGAATGTACTTATTGTGCATCATCAATTTCTGGGAGAAAATTTGGTTGGCTTTGTTCGACTGCAAGTTTGATGAATGATACCTAACCTCCATAAGAAGGTGATAATTGACTAAATAATTCTTATCACTCAAGTTCCATGACGTTGATCTACCTATAAGTTTTCTATGATGCAAATCATTCGTCTGTGATAGCTATCAAAATTCAACAAACTTGCAGGTGTGTGTGAACTAAAGTTACTTGCCTGAAGCATCCATCCCACACACAAACTGAGGCTCTCAAACTGGCACTAATTCTTCAATTTCTCGGCCATTTTTGCACAAAATTCCTACATAGTCTGTAGATATGATCTGTGATGCGTCCCGAACACATCAGTCACCTTCAAGGATCATCGGCCAAACGATCTTTGTAAGACAACAGTCAATAGTTCCATCGATGAGCCTCTTTGAAGCCCCTAGTTTGTGGGCGGGTCGGACACTTGAAAAATTTGGTCCTGGAATGGCTATAGTTACATAACTTAAATGCGAAAACATATAAGTAATGTCACCATGTGATGACTAAGTAATACCATTCATTGTAAAGACAGAATTCGTGCCAAATTAGTTGCCTGATTTTCAGAATTCAACAGAATTTAAGCCTACTTAATTTCTGCTTTGGAACTAAATGCAAAAATCAGCATAGCAAATCTTGTGTCACACTGTAAGTTGCTCAACTGATTTGGCACGAGCTCCACAAGTTTTTGGTTTAATTCTTCTCAGAGGCTACCAAAAAATGTTTGTCATCATCTGATCACTTGACCAGCAAGAGGGCTCGTTATGTTGAACAGAAAGTGTAAGAGGGGGCAGGGATCACTAGAGTACCTATATAGCGAGAGTATGGACAGATCGCTTCATGGAGGGCTTAGGGCCCAAAAGTGCAGCCACCCTTCTAACCAACTTCTAACGCACAAAATTTCACTGGCGGTCTGCAGATTCCAATTCTAACCAAGATCGCTAAGAATGTACATGAATGAGCGTTCTTCTGCAAAAACGAGTAAATTTATGCAGAAACTAAGTCAAATACGTGCTTTATAAACGATGGTTCGTAACAATTGTATTAGTAAAGCGCTCTGAATAATTGAGATTGAGGTTGGCTGCATTTCTGGGCCCTAACTTTATTCGCGGAGACATCGGTGAAGGCCTGATGGATTTTCGGAGTTTCACATCTGTCTATACTCTCGCTATACAGGTACTCTAGGGATCACCAAGTGGATGCATAGGAATATTTTTGGCTTAAGTGGTGTGGTGGGTGTCTTAAATCTTTCATAAATAAACAAGGACACCTACCATGTTAGGGCTTGTTTCAAATAACTTCTTTTTCACCAGACGCGCTTCTCTGCGCATACAGCAAAATAGGAAAAGTAATCTGAAACGTTCTGTAGGTACTCTATTTGTCCCTATCATTGCTTTGTGGTCCACAAATAGAGGAGGATAGTGCTAATGCTAATGTACCTAATTCCAGAAACAAATATTATGATTTTTGCCGCTTCCGATTTCTTGTCACATTTAATTTTTCCATAAGAAAACCAACAAATTTATGTTTGAAATCTTCTGCCTGATACCTAGGTATACTGTATTTTTTTTTTCTTCCAATTTTTCAGATGTGGCTGCCAGTAGCTCCGATGAGAGTGAGAGTGAGGCGGAATCTGAGCTCACAGAGGAGCAAGTCTCCACTCTGAAGGAATTAGATCATTTGATAAATGACTGGTCACAATCTCCAATACACCACCAAATTGTTCAAAATAATGAAGTAAGTATCCGTAGAAGTTTCCATCTCAGATGAAAGAGAACGGATACTGTTGCTCTTATGGTAATCGCATCATGGCTTGATTTCAATTAAAATGACTTTTGATTTATCACCTGATGATGAATTAAGAAAATTCTGCACAAGTATGAACTGCTTGCCGAACTAGAATGATTGCCCCGCAAATGAGCAGAGAAACTCATTCGCTCATATCAACACCAAGAAAATTTTGAAAAATAATAATAGGATAAGCCAAAGCAAAAAGTACTGCACTTATTACAGGTTTCCAAGGTTAAATGAAGTGGGGTTCTTTCAACAAAGTATTCTTGAGTTTTTAAAAAAGGATGCTCGAAAGGATAGTGCAATTGGTTTCTGATAGTTTCGATAAAAATATACTTCTGAAGTCATTCAAAAGCTCTTGGTAGCCAAAAATTAAAGCAATGATATCAATTGGAAGCTGGGAAATTTTTTTTCGAGTATGCGCTTTTTTTTAACGAACCCCAACATAAGGGGTAAAACTTCTCTCTTAGCTCTTATACGACTTTGCTCACATTTTTGTGCAGTAGGAGCTCTTTGTCACTCTCTTTTCCTCCCTTCCCCTTATTTGGACACGCAGATTCGTTTGAAAATTAAGCTGCAATTTTTTTCAAATGCTCATGGCACGGGTCGTCAACGCCTGAAGCCAGTTGTCACAAGAACCTTGCAATTAGTGAGCCGATCTAGCCCCTTCTTATCTGAGCAAAGTCAGTAATAACAGCAAAAATAAAAAAAAAACAGCAGCAATCGATGCAACATGTCACATGAGCGTTCAATCAGCCTGCATTTTTCCTTGATTTGGTATAAATTGTGTGAAGACAATCTGAGTAATAATTCATATTTATATTTTAGGTGTCAAGTAACCCCTCAATTTGCCGTAATCTGTTCAAAGATGCAACCATCGAAAGTAATGACCAACAACAGGTAGACTCCTCAATTTGCCGTAATCTGTTCAAAGATGCAACCATCGAAAGTAATGACCAACAACAGGTAGACCCCTCAATTTGCCGTAGTCTGTTCAAAGATGCAACCATCGAAAGTAATGATCAACAACAGGTAGATCCTTACATCTATTTTTTTTTATTTGTAGTAGAAGTTAAAAAATAGCATCGAGCAAAAATGTTGCTTGAATATATAAATGCATGCACACTGCAGAGCTCCTGACTATTATTACTCATAACCATATGTGAGAGATGTGCTGTGAGCTAACAAGCTTTAATCTTTCAGACAAATATTCCAAGAGAGACGGAGTAAAATTTGGGTCAAAATCATCGCCTAAGGGGCTGTCCATACATTGCGTAACGTAATTTTTATGATTTTGACACCCGACCATCCCTTGTACTGCGACCGTAGCGCTGGTTTAGACACCTCTAAAATAATTACATAACATTTGCCTCAACACCCCCCCCCCCTTTTTCTTAAAAAAACTGGAGTGAATTTCCCACTGAAAACTTGGTGGAGAACATAATAGCCTCTCTCAATTAAATGCTCTGTATTTCATGAAACAAAAAAGAACCAGACAAAAAAACAGCATATCTATCTTTCTTAAAATTTCTTAAAAAGGAGAAGAAAAGGTTGAAATGCAGTATGTAAGTACTGTTACATAATGCTGAGCTTGACATCCTTCCACCCCTCGTTACGCTTGGTCACAAAATTATGAAGACCCATCCTCCCTCTATGGCGTTCCGTAATTTATGGACAACCCCAAACTGTTTTTAGTGTGTTACTTTATTTTTTAAACAGTCAGTGAGTTTTTAAACAGTGTATAGAGAAATAGCTGCATAAAAAGTTATCATGAAACTTCACCCTTAAATGGCAGCAAAAAAAAAAAAAAAAAAAAAAAAATTATAATAATACCTATTATAATAACTGAACGGTGAAAACAAGCCAATAATGAGTATTTGTTTTATTTCTGGTTGCTCCCAATGGCAAGTGATGTAAGTTTGTGAGTATTTTTTACCAAAAATTATCAAGAAAAAGAGTAATTGCCACTGCAGCAGTGTGTTTTCAATTTTAGTTTATCAATGATTACCGATCTCAAATGAAACATATCGATCAATTCTTGAGATACCGAGATTTCTCTATTTATTGATATTTTTTGTATTCTCTACCCTCGATTTAGTCACAACCTATGAAGAAATTATTCACTTCTGACAACTCTTATAATATTTCCTTCTTGTTTCAGAACCCTACCAATATTATCTCAGCAGTCTCAACGTCAACAGTCTCAGGTAAAAATCAAGATTTCAGAATATTTATTTATATGATCACCACCAACCCGCAAATATTTTATCTACCTTTAAATTTTCAAAGCCCATCAATGTTGGATTGTTTTCTTCCTTTCTTTGTATCAATGATCAGAATACCTCCACAATTAAACACTAATGAGCACCAAAAAGCATCAAACCGTGGCATGCAGAATATGAACTCAGAAATTAAAAGTAAAAAAAAAAAAATCTTAGTTTTTTTTTGAACTTATGACCAATCCAATTTTAATTTTAGCGGCTCTGGTGGTGCTAGGATCCCGGTGCTGTTATTCCAGCCATTGCTGATGCCGGTTGAATAAATGCTCCTTGTCATTATTGGCAACGCCATTTTGCGACTATTTGCAATGTATGCCATTCAACGCCTTTATCACCTTTGTCACCCATGTCCGCCCAATGAACACAAAATTTCGATAATCGGCCTGCTTATTAGATTTTAATTGGGATGTTTTTAATAATGATCTCTAGAATCCAAGGATATCATAGGCACTCTCAGTCTTTGACTTTGATTCATTTGAAAAATTTTGTATTGCCACCCATCTAAAAGGACATATTTTTTTGCAGCAGAAATGGATGATTTGGAAAGGAAAAAGACAGAACTGGAAGAAGCAAGAGTACTCCTGAGCCAAATGAACAGCAGAGTCAGGCTGTTGGACCACTCACTTCTTACGGGGTGCACTGGCCCAAATGACGAAGAGTTGAAAAAGAAGGACAAGGCTGATAATGAAAGATTTGATGCAATTATGGTGTCTTTGTTATCAGCATCAGAAAGGCAGTCAATAACAGACTCCATGAATGCTATTTTACGATGTGGTAAGTTTTCATCAGGCTCTGTGTTTCAAACCAAAATATTTTTACAAAAGGGGGAAGGGAACAAGTTATGAATAATTAAAATAAAATAAACTAATAATGAATAAATTAATATTAAAGAATTAAAGAAAATTTTTAAAATAAAACAAGTAATGAGTTAATAAATCTTGATAAATCATCAGAAAAAAAGTATAAATAAATAAAGAAAACAATTTAAAAAAAGGAAAAAGTAATCAGTAAATAAAAAAATATTTTTTTTTTTTTTAAAAAAAATGAACCAATACAAAAGAAAACAACACTAATATCTGGATCGAACTGCAAGGAACCGGATGTTAGAATGGTGTTGGGTTCACAATTGGACCGAGTTTAACAGAAAGGAACCAAGCCACATCAGCTATTTCCAAGTTTAACTGGGCAATTAATTTTTTTACGAGAGAACGTTTGTTCGGACTTCTTTGAAAATTTTAAGGAATTTGCTTCGCACCACGGAGAATTTTCACTGAAATTTGCACGAAAATCCGCATAACCGCTTACTTGTAAAGAATTAAATTGCCCAATTAAATTTGGCAATAGCTGATGTGGCTTGGTTCCTTTCTGTTTAACGCGGTCCAATTAGTCTGTAGTAAAATCAAGGCCAAACCCCTACAAATTTCAGTTGGAGTCAAAAATATGAAAATAATATGAACTCTAATGAGTGTCAGTGTAGAACTAAGAGGGGAAAGTTTTCAGCTCAGGCAGGTACATTTGAATGCTGAGGATTGCATTATCCCCCCCCCCCCCCCCCCCCNTTACACTGATACACTCACTCGAGTTCATATTTTTTACACTGGTTGAAAATGTTTGGCATTGATTTACCTGCAGAGCAGTGTGGACCCAGCACCATTTTACCATCCTGTAATCAATATATAACTAAATAAAATATTGAAAATAGAGAGAGAAGAAAAAGCCAGGAGGAAAAAGAAAAAGAAAAAAACATTATATCCCACATTATGTTTTGAAGTGGCCCTTTAGAGATCAATATATCTAGTAGATAACAAGGTAGAGAAATGGTGCTGGGTCCACACCATTTCGAGGGGAAAACAAAGCCAAGAAGTTCCAAAAATTATAATTAGAGTCAAAAATAATTTTGTTCAACTCTAATGAGTACCAGTACAAAGCAAGTATAAACAAGTACAACACAGTGGAACAAAGTCAATGTTTTAGGTGAAAAACCTGTCAGGAACCTATCTACCTCCCTTTGTCAGCTAAGTATATCTGCATTGCAAAATTGAAAATGTGACCAAACAAAACCTTAATATCACTCGTAGTTTATAAATTTAATTTTTCTTAAATTTTCAGACTTTCCCGAAAGTACTGGTGATACCACTGACAATAATAATCTTGAGGAAGCTACCGGTGAAGCAGAAGTAGTTGGTATTTCTGGTTTTTCTGACTCTTCTAAAACTACTGGTGATGCCAATGAGAACCCTAATCATGAGGAAGCAGTTGCTGAAGCAGAAAAAGTTGGTATTTCTGGTTTTTCTGACTCTTCTAAAACTACTGGTGATGCCAATGAGAACCTTAATCATGAGGAAGCAGTTGCTGAAGCAGAAAAAGTTGGTATTTCTGGTTTTTTATTTTATAGGTCGGGTATAAATTTGTAACATTGAAATGGATGATTCTCTGTTTGATAAGAACATTCATGGAAAATCGTGAAAGAGTTCCTTGAAAAATTTTGAAATATTTTCGACAGCAGATGAGAGTTAGGATCATTAGTTGATAATAGATCATGAATAATTGCTTAAAAACACTTGTATGAAAACTTACTGCATATTTTATAGTGGCGATAGTCGTTTTCATCATTCATAGTTGAGACAACAAATAATGAGAAACCTGAAGTATCTGAAGTGAAAGTAACAATGCGAGCAGTCAGAATGAAGCAATAAGGGGAGGATGAAGGAAAATTTTTGACTGAAGGTTCCTATCGACCAAGATTACTCAGGGAATTCGATTTGAAAAAAAGAACCATGAGAAATTTGGATCTAGCTACCTGGAGGCTAAATGATTTCATAAATAATTACTAAAGAGAGTAAAAGATAAATAATTAAAAAAAATGAAAACTACTAAAAGGAAACAGCATAAACTTAAAAATGAAATAAAATTCATAGTAATTGATTTTAAAAATTGAAACAAAAATAGAAAAATAAACAAGATTAGATTTAATATTGCCTCACTTGCCTCATTTGTAAAATCACCAATGATTTTTTATTCATTCTGCTTTAATCTTTTTCCTCAGAAAATCCAAGCAGATGATGAAAAAATGAAAGTCATTAATGGAAAAACCGGTTTGCCAGTTGACATTATTGACTCAGAGAAAATTGAGTTGCCAGTTGAAATTATTATGAATCACAGGAAAGACGAACCGGATCCAGATGAAGTTATCACAGAGTACTTTCAGATTTTGACTGAAAATGAAATTCTAGCGGATACTGAGGAAGCAGAATCAGTCATAGAAACTTTGGATGAAGGTAACTTCTGCATCCTACACAGTAACAATCATTAGTTTAAATTTAATACTGACATACGGTCTCTAAAATTGAATTTAATTAAATTGGTAATTGGAGGTGATCAACAAGGTAGACAGTAGTTGGAGGGGGGCCAGTAAGTGCATGTAAGGTAAATGGTGTGAAGAGTATAGATACCTAGGAGTTTGGCTGGTCCAAGATAGGAAGTTTGATTGTGCCATTAGAGAATGTAATTTGCAAGGCAGGAAACTTATTGCAATGAGAAATGGGGTTCTATGGGATCAGAGAATCTCGAAGGAAAATAAACGTAGGATTTACAGCGCCATTGTGACAAGTATTTTTACCCATGGGAGTAAGGTCTGACAGGTGAAGAGAAGATCCAAGGAAATTCTATGAACCTTTAAAATGGAATTTTGTGACCTATGGGGACCTCGCAAAGAGAATGTGTCCGTACTGAACGAGTCCATGAAGTAATGGGGGTTGAGAGCAATATTGTCCATGATATCAAAACCAAGCAACTGGTTTGGTATGGACCAAACTAAGCAAAGAAATATCTCAGGCGAAAGATGGCCGATGGCAGATGCGGCATATGTCAAAAAGACAAGATTTTTTTTGACGTAATGAGCTTGATCAGTAATTTTTAATTCTTGTATTTTTGAAAAATAGAGATACGCAGGCATTTTCCCCCATTTTTCTCAACAATATTAAGCCACAGAGTACAAGTTCAAAATTGCATTTTTCGAGCTCAGACTTTAACGCGTATCGCCAAGATAGCCATGCATCATTTTAATTATATGGTGCAACTAATTCAATTTTGGATTTTTTGCAGCTGCAGTTTTCGATTTTCCTGAAAGTGGGAGCAGCCCGGTTTATGGATATCAATATGACTTTGAGTCAACAGAGGTATGTATGAGTTAAAACGTAAAAATGTTCCATGATCATAAGAGTGTCTGAAAAGACAAAAAATCAGAAAAATTTTTGCTTCTCTGGCATTTCCTATTTTTCTTAATCCCAACGTGAAGACAAAGAAGAAAGTTGAAAAAAGAGACTCTATACCTCTAGCCCCTGAAGCCTCTAGTATGCAGCAAAAATCATCAGCGTTCGAATGGATGAAAAAATATGATTTCCATTAAATTTTTAAGAAGGACGTTTTTTGTTAACGGAATGGAGTATTTTTGGGGGGGAATCGGAGACTAATACTGTTTACTGTCACCTTGTTATTTGAAAAAAGGAGATAAAAGCCCAAAGATGAATTACTAATAATAACAGTTCACAGGACTTTCCCCTGATTTTGTAAACAATACTTACTAAACCCAAGAAAAACAAGTTCAAAATTGCATATTTCGAGTTCTCATTGGAACGCGCATCGCAGAGAAAGCCAAGATGGCGCTGCGGACGTTCCTCCGACAACAGCCACACTTTTGGCCTTGCATTCCCTCTGATGCAATCCATGGTCCGTGCACTAATAACGGATAGGAAACAAACACATAGGAATCTTTCAATTTTCATGAATTCCATGACTTTTTTGACAGTTATGAAATACTTGATAGTGATTTCCATGAAAATTGAAAGATTCCATTGTGTTTGTTTACTCTCCCTTTATCAATGCACAAACCTTGGATTGCGTCAAAAGGAGCACAAGGTCAAAAATGAGGAGGCCATTTTGGCTCTCTTAGCGATACACGTTCAAGTGGGAGCTTGAAATGTGCAACTTTGAACTTGTTTTCTGTGAGGTAACATTGTTGAGAGAAAATTGGGAAAATCTCCTGTATATTCTAAATTTTTCAAAATGCATGAATTTGGAATTACTGATCAAGCTCATTATGTCAAAAAACATTTTGTTCTAAATTATCAAATTTGCACATAGCACCTCTTTTTCTGTGTAAAATTGAAGCAACAAGGAAAATAAATAAAAAATGATATACCATTATTTTGCGTAGGTATCAATCGATAATTTTTTCCTTAGTTTAAGTAAAAAAGATAATATGGATAAATTAAAAAAATAAAATCCTTCCAAAGCAAGCTTCTGTCGCTCACTTTGCAGGTGACCTGGTGGTGTAGGCTCCCACTGCCTTTGCGTTAATCTAAGGTTCAAGTTTTTTATCTTGAGGAGTATTTTCATTTTCAATGATATGACACAGATTAATTTGAAAACACAATTTTAAAGAAGTAGAAGTAGAAAAAGCAGGGAAAGAAATTATATCCACACAACCAATATCTACATTGAATCCACTAAAGTTTTGGGCTACTTAGAGGATGTATCCGAGCTCATGTGGTTTGAGAGCATGTGATAGAGATTTCATTCTAGTACATTCAATGTACGGAGTTTTGTTTTCTTCAAACCTGCATGAACCATGTTACCTATTCAAATTTTTTCCTTACTTTCTTTTATTGTGTTATAGGTTGAGGATGCTATCAATACTGTAGTGCAGTCAGAAGAAGTTGGCTCTTCTCAATCACTTTCACCAAAGGCCAAAAAAAAGGCAACATATCCAAGACAAAAATCGTCAGGAAAGAAAGGAAAAAAGAAGAAAAACCCCTTTTTAACTCGCCGGCAAAACTATTGTATGTTTTGTAAGAAACTAGTTACCAATTTTACCGCACATATTCAAAGAGAGACTATATTAGAACATCAGAGAGAGATCTACTCGGCTGAACTTCAAAGGGAAGGATTGACCTCCCCGAGAAAAAATGAAATTAACTACCTCCTTGAAAACCTTCCATTAATTGAGGAGTATAGAGAAGCCAAATCATCAGAGAAAAAACTGGAAATTTCTACAAAACTGAGAGGTAGAGGCAATTTTTTGTACAATAAAAAGCAAGCAGAACATAATTTTGAATTACTTCCAACCCGTAGACTTGCCGCAAATTCCAAACTGAAGTCAGTTTCCGTTGACACTCATGTACCATGTTCAGGATGCGGTAATATGTATCTAAGTAAAACGTTGTATAGGCACAAGAAGTATTGCAAAGTTGAACCATTAATTCTGAATCCTTCCCTCAAAGGATCCAAAAGAAAAATGAGAGTTTTAAAAAGTGAGAAATATGCTTCTAGCTATCAACTACAACTAAAAGGAAGTGGTGTGAGTGACATACTACGACAAAAAGTATGGCCCATTTTTCAGAATGATGTAGTAGCATTGGTGGCCAAAAATGATCGACTAATCTGTCTCTTTGGGTCAGAAATTATCGGCAGTCATTTAGCATTTCAACAGCTGCGACAAGTCACAAACCGCATGAGAGATCTGGCCAGGTTGCTGATCGAGTTGAGGGAACTCGACCCAGAAATCAAGACCCTAGCAGATGCTCTCAAACCGCACAAATTTAAACACATCCTTGTGGCAACCCAGAAACTCAGTGGGTATAACGCAGAAACTGGTTATGTCAATGTCGTAACATTCCCTACACGAATTTCCACATCTTTGAAACTATGCATCCAAATTAATCTGTGCGACATAATTGAAAACGAAAATACCCCCCAAGACAAAAAGCTTGAAGCACAGAACACTGCAAATTTAATGGAAACCCTATTTAAGGCTAGATGGGCTCCAAATATTTCTAGTAATGCGGAAAAAACCAAGAAACTTAGGAACTCAATGAAAAAACAAATTATGCCGGACAATCAAGATATTAAACTTTTAATTGACTATCTTGAAGACCAGCAGTTAGAATTTTACAGTGAGCTGCAGCTAGGTCACAATTTGATCGATAATTATGATAAACTCTGTAAGTGTTTGATTGCTTTGATTATCTTGTACAACCGCAGGCGAGCGGGGGAAACAGCACGCATCGAATTGCAGTTCTATCAAAACATTAATGATGATGAGCCAGTGAACCAAGATATTCAGAATTCCTTGAATGAGAACCAACAGAAAGCTATGAAAACTTTTTCTTGCTTCCATATTCTTGGGAAAAATAAGCGGACTGTTCCAGTCCTCATAACTAAACAAATGAGATGTAGCATAGATTTACTGATTGAATTAAGGAGTGAGGTTGGCGTAGATGATAGCAATCCTTATCTATTCGCAAAATCATTTTCTACCGATCCGTATGATGGAACCAAGATATTACGTGAATTCAGAGCTAAAATTTCATTGAAAAATCCGGCTCATTTGACTAGCACCGGATTGCGACACAATATCGCAACGATGTCAGCAGTTATCAATGTGTCAGAAGAAAACCGCTCAAAATTGGCTGATTCCATGGGTCACGACTTTGTGATTCATAGAAAAAACTACTCTTTGCCTCAACAGGAGGTAGAGCGAGGTGTAGTTGGAGAGATTTTATTGGCTGCTGCACGAGGAAAGTTGTTTGAATCGGCGGCAGGAACCTCTGCCACAAAAAATCACCCAGAAGACCATGGCAATGATAAAGAATACAATGAAAATCTCAGGTCTCTCAACGATGAAGCCGTACCTGCAGCCGTACCTGCAGCTGTACCTGCAGCTGTTAACAGTGAAGGTGACGTTCCTGAAATAGTTGATTTATCTGAAAGAAAAGACCACCATTCGGACGGGGAAAAAACCTCTTCTTCTGACTCTGAAGTTGACTGTCAAGTTTTAAGACGAAAGTACCTCAAGATGAGAGTGCCACAACAAAACCTACCCGCTAGTCAATCTTGGCACTCTGCTAATGCAACCATAATTACCGGAAAGAAACCTAAAAAGAGATGGTCAAATGCAGAAAAAAAAGCTATCAAAAGACAGCTTTCTGATTGCATGGCAATGGGAATAAACCCTAAACAACAGCGAAGTGAGGCTTGTATTAATGCTGAGCCAATTTTAGCAGGCCGCACTTGGACTCAAGTAAACGGTCTAATTAATAATTATAACAAAGGTAAATTAGCTGATGGTTATTTTTCCGATTTGGATGAGTAACTTTAATTAATTAATTGTGATATCCTGGTATACTTGTCAACATCTAACATTGATTTGTAAAATCATCACATCAATCAGCATTGGATGCTGACTAATAGTAAGGTTAGTGGTGTTGAAAATCACCATTGAGAAGTTAAATTTTCCAAATTTTTATTTTAAACTATTTTTTCCCATAGTTTTAATTCCTTGATTTCAGATGTTATTTATAGAAATTAAAAAGACTGTGTATTCACCCACAATCTGAATTAAATTATGTATTGATGTCACTCATTATCACCTCAGGACTCATTATCACCTCAGGACTCATTATCACCTTTGTCTTCAACAGTGTTTGAAAAATTCTATCTAAGTCGCAAAGAATAGAATAATCGGTATAGAAATTGCAGTCTCTCCACTTTTTAAATTCATTTTGTAAAAGTGATTTTAATTTGATTGGGGTTCGAGGTAGAGGCACTGTTGCCTTTTTGTGGTACTGTTTACTAATTATTTTTTAAATGAAGATTCTGAACTTGAATGCAATGTTATAATGCAATTTTCTAGAAGTTACTTTCTCTTTTAAGTGTTTTTTTTTCTCCAGTTGATTGTTATCCTTTTTTTTCTTCTCCCAAATGTTATGGGAAGAGTCTGAAACTTAGTGAAACCTTTTAAATAAAGCTCGTTGCAGTAGAATCTTCTTTATTGAAAGTTTAGCTCTACACCGCTCGAGCCATGAAAAAAAAAAAAACAATCAGCTGCAGACTGCTTTAGGAGGTTTACAAATGTTACCGCATTGAAAGTTGTGCAACATTTATTTCCTATTATATTTAGAACGTTATTCAGTTCCTTGAACCTGGCCCATTAATGGGATTGATTCATGTTAGTATTTTTAAAGTTTCTTAGTCAAATGAATATTGTATACATGTTATACTTCTTCTCTTGTTTTTTAATTTTGTTTTTTTTTTAATGTTCATTATTTTCTTAAAGCTTTTATTTATATAATTATTATTTTTATTTTCTCCCTCAAAGAGAAGGCAAGTCTTTGTTCTTGATTCTTCTGAATTAAGTGTAGTTAAATCTACTCTTCTCTATTGTCGAAATGTCTGGCTTTCTTTATCGTCAGTTTCATGGTGTTGAAAGGTCCTAACACTTTCACAAAGCTTTCATATGATACCTTCTTAGTGTTAATATTGCTCATCAGTACCAGTTTTACAAGTTCCTCTAGAGCTAATGATTTTCAATTTATCATTAGTATTACTCAGATATCAAAAAATGAAAACTAGATTTACTCATTATTCCTTGACTTCCGAGTCTAGATTCACTCCTCCATAACTTTGGATTGCACCATGATTTCATAACTAAGTAATCTTTTGTTAAAAAGGTACTTACTTGGTCCATTTTAATTTTTCGAATCACTCAAAACTTACATTCTTCATTGCTTGCAATAAGTCTTGCTCATATTACTTATCCTACATTATTACTCAGATTTTATGGTCAGATTTATTTAGTTTTCATGACATTTTTTTCTTTTTCTGGTAACTCATAACCAGTATTCCTTGTTGTCTTTGATATGTCTCGCTCATATTATTCTTCATTATTAATCAGTCTTCATGACTAGATTTTTCAAGTTTTTATAACAAATTTTTCTCTTCTTTGCATTTTTTACATTTCTATTTTTTAGTTTGAATAAAATGATTCCAAATACATATCCTTTTTTTTTCTTTTTTAATTTCACCTGTAGACTCATACCAGTATGTGTACTTTCAACATATTTCTGCTAGCTGCTACCATGTTTTTCTTTTTCGTTTCTTTTTTTTCCCCCATTTTTGCTGTCCTGAAAATTAGCCGAGAAGCCAAGAATTTAGGAGCAGTCTGGAGCTCACTATTGTACCATAAATTACACATTTATAAATGATTTAAACATTTAAAACTCTTGGGGATGTATTCAGGAGGTCAAGAAACGCCTTTAAACAGTGTTTCTCAATTATGAAATTTTTCAGCCTCACCCCCTCTCCTGTCACCTACCACTCGGCTTCATCACTTTGAGCGCAGCCCCCACTTCCAATAGAGACAAACACCAACAACCAACATCTTTTCCTGCAATTCAAAATCTTATGAGACTCGATAAAATGAAATTTCATAAAAAAATTTAAAACTTCTGCACAAATAACCTATCAAAAACACCCCGTATACCATGAAACAAATAGAAACATCATTGAAATCTTAATTTTGAAACATCATTGAAATCTTAATTTTGAAAAAAAAAAAAAAAAAAATTATATAAATAAAAAAATAAAAAAATAAATCGCGGGTCAAATTTCGAAGTTTATCAAATTCTGGATTAATTGGACCGCGTTTGGCAGGAAGGAACCAAGCCACATCAGGTATTGCCAAAAACTGGGGAAGTTAATTTTTTACAAGGGAGCGCAAGTGTGGATTTCTCTAAAAATTTGAAGAGATTTGCTTCGCACTATGCAGAAAATTCAACGAGATTTGCACCAAAATCCGCATAACCGCTCTCTTGAAAAACACAAATTGCCATATTAAGTAAATGTGGCAATAGCCGATGATGCAGTGAAGGAGGTAGCAGACACCCAGCGTTAGGATTTTGAGCGCTATGCTGATTTTAAGCTTATGGTTTTATATTATAGAGTAAGATATGAAAATGAATATTCAAGTATTATTCTCACTATTGCAGAGAATATGCATTAAAGTACTTTGAAAAAACCTGCCAGATCTGGTTCAAGAATAATAGTCGGTCGTCTCTCAAGAAATTCACATCAGACTGGAAACGACAGCGTAAGTCTGCAACCAGACTGTGCAGTGTGGTTGCAGATGTTTGAAAATCTTGTTTGCTGTGTATGAAAGTGTCTGCTCCTATTTTATTTTTTAAAAAAAGAACAAATCGAAATCATTCCTCGAGGTTTCGGTAGAATTTTTTTCGCATAGGGAAGAGATAAAAAATCATGGCAGTTTTTAAGGTTTTTGGTCTAAAAGATAAAGTTTGACAAGAAGTCAATTTTATCACAACCAAAGTGGAAAAGTGATCTGACCAAAGCTAACCTAAAGTTAAAAAAATATGAGTGGGTAAGTGAATTTGGGCAAAAATCAACCTAGAATACTTTGTTTCCTCAATTTTATTTAGTTCCCGCCCTACATTTGAATTTCAAACTTGTCCCGATTTCGCCGCCACTCCTCTAGCCAATGGTAGAGGTGGTTGAAATGAAACTTCATTTTTTGCTTTTAGCGCTGAATTCTAGGTTAGTTTCAATTCTCATGAATGTGCACCATAATAAACAAATAGCCGGTTCGTGTAATTAATGAATCAGTCATGTTTGTACAGTATTATTATCCTCGTAAAACGGCACCGTGAAAGATGGAATCTGCCGAGATGCTTAAGTTCACGAACAACATTCAAATTACTTAGCTTTCAATAAAGATTCAAGTGATAGTTCTAGTGTTAAGTAGCTTGGATGATTCACAGTATGTGAGTACCTGATTAGTTGTCTAATTTTGCTAAAACAAATGGAGTAATTTTGAAGACCATGCACTTAAGCAGGTTTTATTTGACTCAAAGCACTCGCTGAGTTTGCATTGCTAATACCCAGGTGTATTCCATCGCCTTCAGCGGTGGGCCCAATTGACAATTTGACTAATTTCTTGTTTTAGCCCCATAGCCCCCCTCCCCCAAAATATTGATGTACCTCAGAGATACCTGAAGAGCATTAGAACATTATAAACATGGTCATCTCTTTCAATTTGAGGGATTACTTGCCGATAAATGTTGCACGCCCAAAAGTTGAAGTTATATGTGGGTTGGTGCGATTGGCCCATCTCCAATTTCGAGTCTAGTCATAAGATCTTTTAGGAACTTCAATCAACGACCCATGTAGTGCTTGATGCCAGCTTTCACATAATTAAAGTTACTTTTTCAACATCTACAGTCCTTGAAAGTGAGCCGTCCAAGTGATCTGGCAGAATGAATAAATGACCCGTGTTCCTCCAATTTTGAGGATAGACCAACGATCTCTTAGGAACTTAAATTAATGACTCATATGGTGCTTGAAGCTCCCTTTCGAAGATTAAAATACATTTTTTCAAACAGTACTTCAAAATGAGCCCTCTGCGTGATCTTGCAGAGGAAAGAGCCGTCTTAGGGTGACCTGTATCTCTTCAATTTTGGGTTTAGTCCAAAGTACTTTCAGGAACTTAAATTAATGACGCATGTGGTGCTTGATGCTCGTTTTCAAAGAATTAAAAGCATTTTTTCAAAATCTATAGTCCTTCAAAAGGGGCCCTTCATGTGAATTTTATAAACATCATGTTTGCCCCTAGCCTCCTCAAATTTTGGCGTATCCCAAAATCACTTGACATGCATAAGAGGACCATAGATATGGTCCTTCATGCCAAGTTTGAATGCATTTGGAAAAATAGATTTTGAGGTATGGCTGTACACATAGAAAGTGCACGCCAGACAGACGGACACACATTTTTTCAAGTATGGTTTTTCTGACTCCAGGCACCTTAAAACGCTTAGAAATTATGAAATTCCATTCTTTTTTTCTTGCATTTTGGTCAATAGCAATTTTCTAACCGCAAGGGGAGCGAGAAAGTAAAAATTCGAGTCGAGATCAGAAGGGAGCGCGTCAAAATGGTGCAACGTCTCGCAGACTTCTAACGGTTCCGCTTAAAATTCACGGAATAATAGCAGAAAAAAAAACAGAGTTACTAACCAGCAGAAAAAAGCTCAAAATGAGGTTAGAAAAGAGAGTAGGTTTTTTCATGTATATGAACAGGTAGCTTTGTGTTATTGACATGCAAGTAGCTTTGTGCGCGTTTTTAGGCGGGTAGCTTTGTGGCACTGGACGCGTGTGTGTATATATATATATATATATATATATATATATATATATATATATATATATATATATATATATATATATAACACCCGTATATATAACCGGGGGGGGATGAAAACATCGTTGCCCGGTTATTATTAGGACCCAATTTCGATGATTGATCAATATATTCCTTAAAATCATACATTTGTAATTTAAAAATCCGCATACGTACTAGGAGTTATTGCACCATGGTGGAAGCATTACGTAGTAGGAGTTATTGCACCAAGTGCAAATACTCCACTGCCCGGATTTACATAATCAACGTAATTCAGGTTTTGATGATATCGACCGTTTATTTTAAAGAAGAATGTTTGATGATATTTTTGAAGGGCGGTTATTTATTTTGAAGCAAATTACAAAAAAAACTCTAAAATTAAAAATGCTTGTGAACGAAATGATGGTTTTCAATAACGATATCTTCTAT